TCGGATGATAAGTCCACGAAGTTGCTCTAATCGCAACACATTCCTGTCATGTTAACATCATACCTCTGACAAAATCCACTTATCGACTCTCCCCAATAGAGTGATAGGTCCTCAAAATTGCCCTGATCGCAATATTCTTCTTGTCACGTTAATATCACACCTCTGACAAAATCCACTTATCGACTCTCCCCAATAGAGCGATAGGTCTTCAAAATTGCCCCGATCGCAATATTCTTCTTGTCACGTTAATATCACACCTCTGACAAAATCAACTTATCGACTCTCGTCAACAGAGCGATAGGTCCTCAAAGTTACTCCGATCGCAACACTTTCCACTTATCGACTCTTGTCAACAGAGCGATAGGTCCATAAAATACTGTTAGGTTAATATCACACCTCTAACAGTCAAAAACCCCAATGAACTTGTTAACCCTTTTTTTAACAAGAATAACAAGTTTTTATTATAAAATCCCCAGCGGATTAAATATTTTCTGGAATTATCCTAGTGATAATAAAGAAAATTTCTGAATTTCACTCTAAGTGAAAATTCATGCCAAGTTAATATTACACCTCTGGCGCTTCTAACTTTCTTTCAGTGTTTTAAGTAACACAGGAAGAAATAACGACAAAGTCTACATATTTAATATCGTAGCCAGTGATTATCATTAAATTAATAATCTCTGAATCCATGCCTTACACGCATGGGGGACTTTATCTCGATCCCTAAATAGAGACAAGTCTGCATCTAACACATGCTGCCGGTTAGTCTTTTCCCGTGAAAATGATAAAATCTATGTATTCAAAATCATAGCATCAAGTCTAAGAGAGTTCATTCTCTTAGCACAACGTTACATGTGAAATGGATTCAAATAATTCACATGCTAGCCCGACTCAAACGGTAGTCGGTAAAGGCTTATCAAATCCGTTGATGGCTGAGGGTTTGCCAAAAATCCTATGCATGTTTGCAGGCCCATCAGCTTAATGGATGTGAGCCGAGACTTAAAACAGATGAGCCAAAAATAAGTATCAAATACTTAGTCAAAAATGCACGAAAGCCACTTCCATGTCTTAAGTCAAAACGTTGAGGTCAGACCCGCGATGCAAAAACCGAACGCCAAGGTCACACCCGTGTTCCAAATTCAACATGCAAGGGTGAGACTCGCATCTCAAGTTCAAAATACAGGGTCCACCCCCACAGTCCAGAAGCAGGATTATGACGCATATCTTCACACAGGTCCTACGCGGCAAATCCCTTCAACCAAGATGCCTTCGAAGCAAGTGCAGAGAACAAATCATTTACCACAAGGAATCAACAGCTCCAAGATCAGAGTTGAGATCCAAAGTATTCCGAAAATTCGTCCCAGTCAACCGCGAACTTTCGAAAACTTTGGAGGGGGTTCTGTAGGCTGTCTAAAAATCATAATAGATAGCTGATCCCCATCAAAACACCGATGATAGAAGTTACACTCTGACGACTTCCAGAAGGTTACAATCTGACGACATTCGCAACAACTGATGAAAGCTCTAATCAACAGCCTTCACAATCAACATCGGGAGTTACAATCTGACGACTCTCACATATCAAAGAGCTAAAGCAAAGATTACAAAACGACGATCTTTGCAACGTTCTGACAGAAAGAGACTACAAATCGACGGTCTCTTCAAACTAAGACGTGGAAGTCCTTCCCGCGTACCAGCATCAAGATGCGTCGTGTTCATAGCCACGAACGCAGCTCAAACGCAGCTCCAAAAGCTGCAAACGCAGCTCAGATTCGGCCGCCAACGCAGCTTCCAAATCGCTGTAAACACAGCCTTCAAATGCTGTAAACGCAGGTCACATCCAGCTCCAAACGCAGCTCAGATCCGCTGCCAAACGCAGCAACAGGATCCTTAGAGCATTTCTGGAGCTTTGGAGATCGGCAACAAGATCTTCTTCATCCTTGGCTTATAACCGACTTTCGGTTAAATCAACTCTTTCATAGAGTTTCAAACTCGTTCAGAGTTCTCCACAACGTCAAATCGTGAGGAGAAGATCATGTTCCAGTGAAACAAGACGTCGGATCGTCAACGAGAAGCAAACTCGACGCGAGCATTCGAGGGAGACATCTCATCGCCACCGTGAAGAACCCAGTTTTAAACAAAGGGGAGAATCTAGATCATTCTCTTCTCTTTTGTAATCAGGAAATCCAAATTGTAATTGAGATTAAAGGAATACAAATCGATTTTCCTTCGTTTCTTTTACTGCAAATTTTCCCACAAACAGCGTTGGTGGCTTAAACTTTATCGGATAGGGAACCATATCCCATTTAACGAGATAAGATCGGGTGATTTCAACCTTCTTGAGCTCTGTTCATTAAGAAAGAACATTGAGCTGCTTTTGAATGTCTTCCAAGGCTTTGGCCTTCTTATTTGGTTTTGAAGGTAGCATAGCCTCTGACCTTGCATGTTCAGAGTCCGCATCATCTTGCTATTTTGTGATTGTATTCAAGAGGATTTTCGCCAAATGACCTTTTTTTCTTTTGAAGAACTCGCTTGAGTACGAGATGCTAGTAAAAATTGCTTAACTATCTCTTCTAGTCGTGCGATTCGTTCGTCTAAATCTTTCTTCTGAATTGCCATTTGGGTCAGAATGTCTTCTCCGTCTGCCATGTCTATTGCCCATTGTCGTTCTTGACTTGAACTAGGGTTTGGATTCGATGTCATGGCGGAGTTGGCTCCACTAGAAGTAGGCTGATTCATCTGGGATGATGACAGTGATGTTCACATTGGGATGGAGGAGTAGTCAAAAGAAATAGCCGCCCTTCTCCTTAGTCTGGTGTTGTGATATACTCCATCGGCTTCTGGTAGAATGGATCCAATACTAGGAGAGTATACTGGATCAGGCGAGCTATCTGAACTTTCCTCGTCATCTCTAGAAGCCACACTTGTCGTGTTGATAGTGAAAATTTTCATTTTGCTCCTTTGAGCGCGTCATCGTCGTTTAGTCCGAACTTCTGAAAGCTCAAACATGACTAAGACGGTTGAAGATTGCTTCTTTGCATTGACAACTCTTTTGAATTACTGAGATCATTTCTCTGAGGGTCACGCAATGCTGACACTGGCAAGATCTCTTCAGAGTTATGAATTCTCTCAAGTCAGCATTGGTGCTAACTTCGTTGGTTTTGGCCTTGGAATGCGAACGTCGCTTACGGTGATGTTGGCCAGAAGCTTGTTCAGCGGAATCATGAACGATGATGTTATTCCTTTGAGGAAATTTGGATGAGAAATAACCCCCATTCTTTGCTTCTGTCGGAGAAGCATAGAGAGCATCGCTAGACACTTTGAATCGAACTCCTAAAGGAGTCGAAGACTGAAGCCCGAGATCAGATGTGATAACATCTTGATCGAAGTTCGTTTGCCTTCCAGCACAGCCCGAACTATCTTCAGCGAAGGTGGGCTTTCCACACGTGGGGATCGTTTTAGACTCAAGATTCACACTATAGTGAATTTTGCAACAACTATATACAATTATCATCATAGAGATTTTGTTCTTGGAAATTGATTTCTTGAACTTCGTTTGATCAAATTCAATGACCAGCATTTCAGCAAAAGACCCAATGGTCTTAGTATCAGCATGCAACACAATCTTCTCATCGGAGGAGAATGAAGTCCCTAGCGGAGTCGTCGTCATGTTTAAGGTTCTTTTGAATTGTAATTAACGCAGATTACAATAAAAAATACAATGAAACAAAGGTAAAATTTATTTTTTTCCTGGGTTTCTTTTCCATGTGCCGGTGGAGCGTCGATCTTGTACTCCGTTGACTCACTGACTAAGACGATGAGTCTTTTTGCTGTTGATGAGGATCAGATTGCTTGGAAGCTAGCTCAGTTTTCTCTTAGCAACACTTCTCAACAGAATAGCAAAGGTATGCTTCTGCGCGTATATATCTCTGCGTCCACGTCTGTGTATATCTCTTTGTGTGTCTCTCATGTGTTGTAGATGATTTCTTCTTCTTTTATAGACTAAAAAAGATAGTTAATGGTCCCATTAATTGT